CAGCTAGTGCCATCGGTCACTTGCATGGGCTGCCTGTTCCGATTATACACAGAGACTTGAAGCCAGCTAACATCATGTTGCATTATACGGGCGACAGACCAGTCATTAAAGGTAGTCTAATGTGGCGCATGAGCATTCTTCTTCTTGTTAGACTTACAGGCAACCCAGTTAACTATTAACCCGGACCCGAAGCCAACACAGCATTTCTACCCAGTATCTTAGTTGGATACATATTATTATCAGTGCGTGCTTCTTTTTTTAGTGACTGACTTTGGCTTAGCCAAAGTTGCCGAAGACAAGGCAGACTTGGCCAAAACCTACATGATGTCGACCSTTGGAGGAACACCAGCATTCATGGCCCCAGAATTCTTTCTGAGGGAGAAATACACWTCCTCTGTAGATGTGTTTGCCCTTGGTTTGGTGTACTTAGGTATGCTTAACTATGATGAGTTTGGCGACATTTTACCTTGTAAGTACTACCTCAGTAAGCTAGCTAGTGTAGCGGTCCCCGTGGAGYGAGTTTGAGAGATGAAGCTAGGAAAAATAAGGGCCCTCCTCCCCAATTCCCACCCTGTGACAGATATACTGAGTATAATTAAGGAATATAAAACGCGYGCGCATGTCTCTGTACTGTGATATAAACACGCTGGGAACTTTAAAACACGAGAGAAGCAAGATTAGGAAAACGAGGCGTAGCCGAGTGTCTCACTTGATCTGCGAGTGAACTACAGCTCTAAAGTGTTTATATCATATTACAAAGATATTTAGCAGCCGGTTTATATTGCTTTTATAAATAATTTTGAAAGACTTTGCTCGACCATGCCTCTGTTGTCTGATATAAACACGGTAGCCAGCCAATCAGCGCACGCTTTATATCTTAAATGCTTTATTTAACAAATAAAACAGCTTTTCCTTGCTCCGTTCAGTAAAAAAGCACTCAGGAAGTGACGTAAGGACAAAAGAAGTGTAAGGAGAAGCACGAGCGCTTCTCAGACTTCTTGTGCTTACGGCGCTTACCGAGTGCTTTATTACTGAAAGTAACACGGAAAAAGTTGTTTTATTATATAGTTACTAATTTTATTTCRGTATTGAATTTATTTACGCAAAAAGAAAGACGGTCGCAGGATCTAACAAAGCTTCGCGCGCGTGAATAAAGCACAGTTTTCGACCAATCAGCGCGCACGTACTATCCCAACTATAAAATAAAAAATGATATAAACCCGCGCGCACGAGTACGACGTAGTTGTTACCTAATATTCATATTATCGTTTTATTTTCAGTATTTGGGTCTGACTTTCTGTTGATGCCATTAGGAATGGTGATAGCGCAGGCGCTGAAAACAGGATCTTCTCCACCAAAACTTGTTGAGATAAAACCGAGCGAGAGTAAAGACACGAAAGAAGTAAAAGAAGTTATCGGGAAAATGGTGATGGCTAAGAAAGAAGATCGTATGAAAATTCAAGAAGTTAGCACCACATTTAAAAATATTTTCGGTAGGTCTATTTGGGAGCTATACTGTTATCCAGTTTTGATTTTAAGTTTTGAATTTATTTAAATACTTTATATATTAAAAAACAGCAAAAAATGATTAAAAAAATAAAATAAAAATCCAAAAGTGCCTATTCTGAATTCAAGGTGGATCAGGTAATTACTCCTGACAATCCCTTATAGTTGGTATTATTCATTCACATCTCGTTTTTTTTAAGCATGTTATAAACGTTTGTAATCTTTCCAGATAAACTTAAGGACCGCCTCCCTGCCCCACCCCCTCCCCCTTCTCATACCGAGATCACAGGAGCAGAAGCTGCAGGAGAAGATATACCTAATAATGAACTTAGTGACGACTCGGAAGAGGGGGACATTGGCTACCACCTTTTGAGGCAGGCTGCTGGTCAATTATTAGAGGTAAGTTCCGTCAGAAAGAAAGGGGGCGAGAGTAGGCGGGAAAACGGGAACAAATCCCCCGTTCCCGGCTCTAAAATTGAACTTTCTATTTCATTTGTTGTTGACAACTAAGAAAAGTCACTAAACAATGCGAGAAAAATTCTAGGAACGAGAAAAACTCTAAAGCTAAATTTCCATTTAATTTGTTAGAAAGAAGTTCTATATCGTTCTTATGTTGTCAAATACGTATTGTTTATCGCCTGATTATTGCACGTGATTCGTATCAAATTACCCTTTATATATTCAATTACTCTTTGTAATATGTAGTAGTACGCTTGTCGTAACGAAAATAAAACGAGAAATCGAGTACCGAGCAACCGAAATATAACATATGTTTTTACTCTGGATGTGCTTCTGTGGAATTAAAGTGCACATGAACCCTTCGACAATACTTTCAGTACTGGTTCTGCATAAAGTAAATAGTTGATTGGTAAAATATTTCTTGATTTGAGTGATGCGTCTTTAAGTTATGAAGGTTTATACTTCCAATATGTTAATGATGATGACGTCAGGTAAGGTATTTGAGTGTTTTTGTTGTAACTAGTAATACTAAATGCTGGCCATTTTGAAAATAAAAATTGTAAATAGCTTTCATGTAAACCATGAGTAAAATAATGATGCTTTTTAAATACTGTTTCTATGAACCAGTTCGATTTTGTATATTTGATTAAGCCTTAATAGACGTCACACTCATTAGCATATTGGAAGTATAAACCTTCATAACTTAGAAACGCATCACTCAAATYAAGAAATATTTTACCATTCAACTATTTACTTCGTGTAGAATCAGTACTGAAAGTATTGTCGAAGGGTTCATGTGCTCTTTAATTGAAGGAACTTGCGCATCAAAAAGCGCTCTGCTGGCTTTGAGCTCATTTTTGCTCGTTTTGCTCTACAAGGATGTTTATAAAACATAAAACAAAACTATTATCTGTAAACGATGGTTCTATCCTTTGTTTTCTTAGGAAAAGGGAAGGCCAGGAGAAGAAGACAATGCTCAAAAAGACTTGTTGGGAGCTGGGAGGATGCCACTCTTGGAAATGCTGTTACTACAGGCACTAGGAGAAGGAGACGACGACGAAACCTTACCTGGAGGAGTGAGTAGACGAAAGAGACTATTGGACTGACTTATATAGTAGCACTTATTACACATTTAATATCAGACGATATATGAAAGCCGGAAATAGTTTAGGCCAAGATTAGGAATTGAAAATAATAATATAGTAAATATTAGACAGAAAAGATTCACAAGCGGATACTAGTAAAGGTTGTCGACATCTGTCGACATGAGGTAAAGACGAATTACGAATGAAAAATACTGATCAGTCTATCTTTACTACGATAAGATCGTTGTGGTCTAAAACTAAATGCTAACACATTTAACGTGTTTTCCTTTTCTTTTCAGCTCAAGAAAGGAGATAAAGTTCGCGTTGTTGAGGGTGATGTTGAGAGGGCAAAAAAGCTTCAAGAAAATTATGGTGGTTGGAGCGAAGCAATGGAACAGGTGAGAAAACATAGCAAATGAACGACCTGAATGTTTGTTTGCCTGTTTTGGCTTCTAAAACCTGCATTTGTAATTCTATTTCGACAGTATCTTGGTAAAGAAGGTGAAGTTCAAGGGAAGGTTCTTCATGTCATCAAAGTCAAGTTCCCGGATGGAGTTTCGTATGTACATGCTTGACGTTTTACTCATTCATGCTAATCAACGGGCGCTTTTTCCAAAAATTTCAAGATATGACAGAATAATTAAGAACCCCCCGAATGGGAAAGAAAAAATGTTTAATTACTTTTATGGGACTATTTTTTTCTGAGGTCCCTATGTCTATTTCATTACATTGTTGACATTATTACTATTTTGCTATTACTACATTACATTGTTATTATTATTATCATCATCATCATCATCATTATTATCATCATCATCATTATTATTATTATCTAAATGACTATCAGGTGGTCCTATAACCCTTCCTTACTCGAGAAAGTAAACTCTGACGGCTCTAGCACTCCTATTGTAAATTCAAGGAAGTCAAGACGGGAAGAGGTAACCGGCCATGCCTTACTTGTTTGTAATAACGCTCATTTACGTCGAATATTCAACTTTTTGTTTGGTGTACCTCGACTGATTTCTACTTTTGCAACCGAAACTTGTGTCTCAAAACAAGTTTCAGGACGAAATTGCGTAGTGTAACAACCCCGTGAAACTTGTCTCGCAACGGCGTTACATGACGCAAGTTTCAGCTAAAAGTTTCAATGTGAGTGTGACAGGGCATTAATCGAAATTTATCTCTGTATCAGTATCTTAAAAATAAAAAGCTGCAACATCTAATTATGATTTTTTCCAGGTCGTTCGAGGGCTGTTCCATAGATTTGATGTGGTCCAAATACCGAAGGAACAGAGTGTGATGGAATTATTGCAAGATGGACACGGTGGATGGAAGGATAGAATGAAACTCGTATGTATATGATAGTGATTCAGCCATGGTATTGCTTAACTGTTTCCAGGAAGGCTTATGTATGTTAATTCTGTTCTTCTCCTTGTTCCGCTGCTAGAAAAAAGATGTTCGGTCCTCTTTCTAGAAAGTGAAGCCTTAAAACAAAAAGTTAATCAGAAAAGCAAAGTATATAAATGGGGATTTTATATATAGCCAAATAGCCAATGAAATCGTTTTGTTAATCAACCGTGTTATGGTTTTTATTCCAGTGCCTAGGGATCAAGGGATTGGTGAACAGAGTGGACAAAGATGGAGACGTGTTTGTGGAGTGTATTAACGGTGATAAGTAAGTAAGACTAAGTTGCCGTTGATAAACACAGAGAAGGCACTCGTGCAGTCATGAAACGTTTTGCCAAATATTCAGTGTCTGCCGATGATGACAAGTACAGCTATTAACGATAAGGTATATACGTTTTATGGTCAGTTCTATTTTCTAATCGTGTGAAATTGAACTTTGCAGTTGGACTTTTAACCCCGAATTGCTGATCAAGGTGGAGCCCGATCCCAGTGCCAAGAAAGAAGCTGGGGATTTTGTGTTAGTAATGGACGATGTGAAGACTGTGAAACAGCTTCAAGTCAATCATGGTGGATGGGTGAAAGGCATGGAAAAGGTAGACACTGATTAATTGATACAGGTTCAATCGATTGATTGAAAATTCTAAAAGTATTGCATGAAAACGTTGTCATTTGCAGTGCTGTGGCCATACTGGGATCATCAAGGCTGTTCTACCGAATGCTCGTTTGAGGATTGAAGTGGCTCATGACACATGGATCTTTAATGAAAATGCTATTACACTAGTAGCCAAGGGAGGTAAGAACAGTGGTATGGGACAGGATGGGTAGGTGGATGGGTGGGTGGGTGGGTGGATGAGTGGATGGGTAGGTGGATGGATGAGTGGATGGGTGGTTGGGTGTATGGGTAGGTGGATGGGTGGGTGGCATGGATGGGTGAATGGATGGGTGGATAAATGGATGGACGGATGGATGGATTTGATTGACAAGAAAATATGGAAAGATAGGACAGTATGCCGGGATGGTCCTACAGATTGTTTCATAAATAAATGGCCAAATATTAAAAGTCTTTTTTTTTTTTTGCGTTGCAGAGGAACTGCTGGAAGCCATTTTGAGAAGAAAATTAAAACTTTGAACATGTTAAAAAATTTTTAACGTCTTCAGAACTGAAGAGGTGATGAGCTAGGTTATAGATTAATCATGCTCATGAACAATACTGACACACTATTGCATTTCTTCGTCCGTGGAGGATTTCTCAGCTGGTTTCGAGTCAAGAGAATATTCTGTTGTTCGAGTATAATTGGTTATCTAGAAATCTGAGGCCAGACTGAGCAAGAGAACATTTGACCTTTGAGTAAGAAATGTGATTTTTCGTATTTTAGCCAGAAATCATAAAAAAATCTGAGCCACGAATGGTTTAGAGCATTCAGAACCTTGTTACTAGTTCCAGTGGGTGTAAAAGACTAATACGGAATCCGTTCTAATGAGACGAAAATAAATTGATGAAATATTCTTGGTTTCTGATAACTGATAAATAACACTTACCTTATCGGTTTCTGTTTCCCCTCCTGGTAATGAGTGATTATGACTTTGGTTTCAAGATGGCCGCTTTTCTCACATATCAAACTTCGCGCTGAATTTCCTGACTTTCAGAGGAAATGTACTGAATCTTTCGATTAAACAATTGAGACATTTGTCTTTAATTTAGCACAAGGCTTTTTAATGGAAAGAAATTAACGAACAAAAAGTTGAATATTCAGGAGCATCGTACAAAAGAAATGTATGGCTGTTACACGTTTCGTTTTTTATCTGTTTCTGTGCGCACTCGGTGTTTCTTGCTTGTTGTATTCACTACCACTCAAAAACTTTGGTTTTACCTATTTTATTCCCCTCAAAGTTTACATTGTTTTACCTGATCAGGTTCTCTCTGTTGATGACGTCCTTAAAGAACCTTAGTCTTTACTACTATGAAAAGAAAATTTACAATCTTTTACGACCTAGATATTAAATGCATAATTTGTCTAATCTTAAATTCAGTCAGTGTTCCAGAAAAAAAACAGCAGCTTACAAAACTTGCATCAGCTAAATCATTATTATTAAACACAAGTTTCTTTACCAAAATGTCATTCTTTAAACAACAAAGAAGTTTTAGATTGTTCAGTTCCAGACTATAGCATGCACACAAAATGAATATTTTTGATCAAGCATCAAAATTATCTTTGAAAAAAATTAGCTAGTGTAACAGTTACTGCAGCTATTTATACAGCTGTTAAAATGGTAAGTGTCGAAACCAACCAGTGCACCTGTAGTTGTGGCCATAGAAATCACAAGAAGGTTTCTTGAAAACTTTGCCAGAGTTTCTCGACAGGTCCTTTGTTTTGCTCTTTTAATGCATTTCTATCTTTTATTTTTGACAAAACCATTGCTTGTTTTCGGACTTCTTTGTATGCTTCGACTCGTCTTGTCCAGCCTTCCTTGGCCTCGCACTGCTCCGACTGGATCAGAAGGTCGATGTGATCTACTTCTGACAAAGGATTCGGTTTCAAGGCTATTTCTTCGAGGCGCGCGAGGATATCTCTAGCTCTTGAAATCATAATGAAAACGGCATTATACATGGTGTCCAGCTCTTTCGCAAGGCCTTCCATCATTTGTTCCTTTTCCATCTTCTTGCTTTTGGCTTCTTGGTAGCGTTTCTTCAGTTCTTCTGACGTCCTCTTTTCTTTTACCGTGTAGAGCTCAAAGCGGTATCCATTATTGAAGTGTTTCGTCCAGTGACAGTTTCCTGGACAAACATTGCACGTATCACATGGGTGTATTGCTGCACAATGATGTTTGTCTTTATCAAGAGGAATACGACAAGGATAATGGCATGTCATGTGGCATGTGATGCAATTTGTGACATATTCACCAGCGGGCAGATCGATCTTGCGTTGTTTGATTACGTCAACTTCATACTCGAAATCCTTATTTGTCAATATATCTTTCTCATGTAGCTTTAGAATCGTTTCTTCTTGGCGTAGCTGGTCAACTTTATGCAACCCAACCCTTATTTGAGGCCCCAGACCTTCAGCTACGCATTCCAGCTCCTCTCTTTCGTTCAGTACCTCTCTGGTTAGTTTCAGACTGACACTCTTTGCCTTAGCGAACGATTTGAAAAAATTCTCAAAGCTGGTTTGTCCCATTTTCCAGTACATTTCATTGAAGCTGTCGTCATCATCATCATCCTCCTCTGGGTAAAGGGCCGAGTTATTGAATTTAAAGCTTTTCTGGAACTCAACTTTTGCTTCTTTGATAGCAGCCAGAACTGGAGGCTTTTTCCCGTCTGCAAACGTGACCATCATAAAGATGCTTTCGCTGATGTCTTTACCGAAGATACTTAGTATGGAGTCGAAGATGTACCGCTGGGTATGAGTTAGGCGAGGCAGGGAGGCCTGAACTACGAAACCAATACCATTCAGCTGATCAATACTGTCGTTACCTTTAAGCGAAAAGAACTCTTTGATTTGCCTGGTAATCTCCTTATCTCTCTCAAGCCCTTGTGTGTCACCATAACCAGGAGTGTCAATCACGGTAAGCTTGTAGGGCAATTGCATTTTGTCATCCTTGTTAAATTTGTAGGCTGTGATCAACCTGGTTTGGCTGTGAGCCTGAGAACGAGTTTCACCATCATCAACCAACTTGTATCGATAATCATCTTCGTAACGTACCCCCATGATGTGATTAACCATTCCATTGATCAAAGTGCTCTTCCCTGCGCCAGTAGCTCCAACAAGCATAAGAACCTTTCCTTGACCCGGCCAAGACCAAAATCGCTTCTTGCCAACGGTCATTTTACGTATGTTGTGTGCTTTATTTTCCATCATAAGCGATGTCTCTAAAGTCCGTATCTCTGGAATTACCATGCTGCTAGTTGATAACTATATGAACACAGAGAAATAGTCATTTTATATGAATTGTTTTTTCTGTCATTTCTCATTGAGAGTCATTACATAACCAAATTTTGAGAAGGTCTATATTGCAAGTAGAAATAGTGGACTGAAGAAGAAGGAGAGAAAAAGTTTTATTGGAAGGGACTTGGTACTTCAAAGAGTAGCTAGGAAGATACTAAGATTCTAAGTCTTCATTAATACACCGTTTTTTGTTTTGTTTATCTATTTATGCAAGTAGGTTTGTGTTTTTGTATGGTAACATTCGTGTTTATGCTCACACGGTTGTAAAGTTAATAAAATACATAAATAAAATAAAATGACCTATTTTTAAAGTATTTTCAAAGGCTTTTTCGTCAGGGAGTTGACGAAACCAGACTCTCAAATTTATTTTGATTTTAATTTCCAAAATAATAATTTTCTAGTCTATCTGTATAAAGTCAGAGATGACAACTCAGTGGTACTCTCAAAGAAAAAGTCTGATTTTAACATTTGTTCCGCAAGTTCCAAGAAATTGTATTTTTTACATATTTACTCAAACAGACCAATTGTTCGTTAAAGCAAGGGCGGTTTAACAGCTTCACCAGTAAACTGGTTATATCAATGTATTGGTGTGCTGTCGTATCAGTGTGTTGTTATATCAATGTATCAGTGTGTTGTTGTATCAATGTATTGGTGTGCTCATGTATCAGTGTGATGTTGTATCAGTGTATCAGTGTGATGTTGTATCAGTGTGTTGTTGTATCAGTGTGTTGTTGTATCA